AGCCAGGGGCACAGGGTCTGGGGGCTGCCCGGCAAACCGTGAAGCCAGTAGCGCTCGGGCAGCCCTTTTTGCGTGGCTGGGAGGGAGGAGGGGAAATGCGGGGCGCTCAGGGGAGGGGGCGGAGTTGGGGCGGGGACTTTGGGGAAGGGGCGGGGAATGAGCGGAGTTAGGGTGGGAAAGGGGGTAGGAAAGTGGCGGGGCCAGGGCCCCGTGGAGTGTCCTCTTTTTTTATTTTTTAAATATGGTAACCCTACCCACAGCACCCTCACAGGTGTGGTGGGTGGGGCTAATGGATTGGGACAGGGCAGTCCAGATGCAGCCCTCTACAGAAAACCACCCCTATACAGACCGAAAATGAAACATTTCATTTGTGCTTTTTAAAACTTTTTACTCTTTATTTTTTAAGGAAATTTCAGAAATTTCAAAATGAATCATCATTCCAAACTGAAAAAAACCAACAATGTTGTATTTAAAAAATGTTGAAACTAAATGATTCAAATTTTTTTAAAGATTTTTTTCTGATCAAAACCATTTGGTGAATTCGACATATATTCTAAATGTTTTGGTTGACCTAAATCTGGATTTCTGGTGGAAAAAGTTTTGCCCAGCTCTAATTAGATTACCAAATATTGCAGCTAAACCCAGAGCCAGGACTTTTGCAGGTTCTCCCTTTCTTTGAGTGGTTTTAATATATCAGAGGCCATCCAGGGAGGAGTGAGCTGGAGTCTCTCATCTCTTTGCAGAGTCCCTTGTTGGAGACCCCTTTGATCTCTTTGACAGCTGAGTGGCCCTAAATTATGCAGCATGATAAACCTGACTTTGCATACTGTAAATCTTCTGGGGACCTAGCCTCTTGGATTCTGCCGTGGTTCAAGGCTGGATGTTTTTCTAGAAGATACGCTTTAGTTCAACCACAGCTACTGGGCCTGAAGCAATAATCAATTCAAGGAAGTCCTATGGCCTGTGTTATGCAGGGGGTCAAGCTGGATGTTCACAATGGTCCCTTCTGGTCTTAAAATGTATGAATCTATGAAAGTGGATAGATTTATAGAAGAATGCACCTGCTCTCCAGTGTCTCTGCTTCCTACTTACAACCAGAGACCCTCCCCTGTAGTACCATGCGTCATGGACCTGCCTTTCAAGAATGTCACATCCAAAGTAGGCTATTGTTGTAAATTCCCTATTACAACTCTTACCCGCTTTTATATAACAAAGGTAAAATCAGAGACCGAGCCCAAAGCCCCTTGGCAGAATGAGCCATTGTTTGCCTGACTCATCCACGCTTGCTAAACAGCAAAGCTACATCATGTTCCTTGATACTACAGAGAGTTGAGAACTGCTGGTGATTCAATTAGATGTGCGCTTGATACTTTTATTTATATTGCCTGCCAAAACTAAAAATTAATGAAGCATGTAGAAAAACAACCCCTATTTCTTGTCAAGCTCATTTTATGGTGCAAATAAATTCAGAAGGGGAAAACAAACAAACATGCCAAACCATTTTAATAAAGGGTCCCAGCTTCTAAACAGGGTGCTCTGTGTTATTGACAGCTCATAGTTTTTGATTGCCTTACAGAATTCTGGCTTGCAGCGTGCAAGCTGCGCACTGCACTTGTATGTCTGTTAGGGTCAAGACATTCCTACAGGCCAGAACTGTACATACAGAAACAAGACAAGTGGCTGAAACTGGACAACCCTGAGAATCTATCAGCAAGGACTACATAGACTTCTACAGTGCATCTTCCTTTTTGTAACATGCTATCCCCTGCAGAATCTACAGTTTGGAAGTTCCTACAGACACAGCTTAGAGCCTTTCCCATGTCTGAATCAAACCTCATCAGATTTCACAGGCTAAGGGTATGTCTACACTGGCAAGTTTCTGTGCCACAAGTTATACCACTTTTATTAAAATGCTGGAATTAAAACTGCTGTTGTGTGTCCACACCATGCTCCTTGTGACACTAGAGCACATCCACATTAGCAGCTCTTGCAACGGCAAAGAGAGCAGTGCATTGTGGTAGATATCCCACTGTGCAACTGGCTGCAGGGTGCTTTGGGAAGAATTTGCAATGCCTCTTGGGGCAGGCACAGCATCACATGATGCAGGTTTCTCAATCCCATTGTTCCATGGGCATCCTACTAGATTGCCAGCTGCTTTTCAACTGAAGGGGTGTGTGTGTGTGGGGGGGGAATTGTGTGACAGGGAGTGTGTGAGAGTATGGAGTGGGGGAGAGAGACAGTGTGTTTTGGGGGACAGAGAGTATGTCCACATGCTGTCTTGTAAGTTCAGAGAGTGACAGGAAGCAACCAGTCCTGAGGCAGGGGGAACACCTCCCCCCCACACACACCCCTCTGTGTTCAACAGCATGAGCAATCCACATTAATGTTTTGCTTTGTGTCCTGGAGCAGATCAGCACAGCAAGCAACGGCTGTCAGAAACGGAGCTTTGCAAGGGGCAGGGCGCAGGTTTCCCGGGCAGGTGAGTTCAAAACAATGAGCAGAGCGGTCACTTGAGGCAGTATGGGACAGCGCCGGAGGCCAATGACAGTGCAAAAAGCAATCAGGTGTCTACACTGGCAATGGAGTGCTGAAGCCTCTGCGCAAATAGCCTAACCACTCTCGTTGAGGTGGGTTGTTTTGCAGTGCTGCAACTGAGTTGTTTCTGCGCACAAAGTGGCGTGGCAGTGTGTACAAGTCTGCAGTTTGAGCGCAAAAAGCTGCTTTACTGTGCAGAAACTTGCCAGTGTAGACAAGCCCTGAGAGTTGGACTAGGTCAATATGGAGATCTCTAGAGGAAAACCAGGGTGTTGCAGGAAGTGACTTTGGTGACTCAGTAGGTCGTTCTTCCTGTCAAGCAGGGGTGAAAGTAAGGCGGTACTGGCCGGTATGGCGTACTGGTAAAAAGTGTCCATCAGTACCGGCCCATACTGCTGACTTTAAAGCACTGCCGTGGCAGCACTTTAAGGACCCTGCTTAAAGCGCTTTAATGTCACTGCCCCTTTTGCACTCCCCCCATCGGCGGCCCTGCTGGTTTGCACCCCCATTGGTGGTCCTGCAGGGTCCCTACCGCCAGGGCCACCAATGAGAGGTGTAAAAGGGGCAGTGCCGTTAAAGCGCTGCCGTGGCAGTGCTTTAATGTCGTTGCCCCTTTTGCCCCACCCCCCGGCCGCCAACGGGGCGGGGGGGGAGGGGGAAGGAGCAGCTGCCCCAGGGCCGCGATTTAAAGGGCCCGGGGCTCCGGCTGCCGCTGGAGCCCCAGACCCTTTAAATCGCTGCTGGAGCCCGGGGCAATGTAGGCCAGGCAGCGCAGATGGGATGGCTGGGGGATGTTGACCCTAACCCTGCCCATTCCGCCTGAGGCCCCAACCCTTCCGCCCAAGGCCCTGCCCCTTCCATGGGGGCCAGAGCTGGCCCTGTACCGGTAAGAGCTCCATTTTACTTTCACTTCTGCTGTCAAGTAAGTATTAAATCAATGCCCCAGGATGGTGTTATGGAGCACTGTGTTGCTACCTAACTAACACACAAGATGAAACACCAAGGCCCTCAGCACTTGTAGCAGCATTAATATTATCTGTTCATTTATCTCTGTTGACATGAGATTTGAATTAGCTCAGATTTGCATTATGCCGTGCACATACCTGGGCTTGTAGCATAGGTCACAGAACAGAAATAGCATGATCACAGCAGGGTGAGTTATTAGGCTCAGTTCAGTGTCACTGGATGAATTATTCCCTTCTCCTATTTGCATATTCAGTGTCTACACACACAAGGAATGATTGGACGAAGGAGGAGAAGATTTAGGTAGCTAGAAAAATATGTACCGAAAAGCATCCCTCCCAAAATTATACTTTAAATGTTTGTTTTTTTTAAATGGAGGCATTTTTATTTATGTTACAGGGGGTTAACTAGCTTTAAATTAAAATGTCCATTTGATATTAAAAAAGACATTAATTTGGCGTTTCATTTTCCAGACCCAATCGCTTCATCCCAGGAGAGCCTGCGAGGAAAGGATTGCTGAGTTTTGCGCAGACCCCGACTAACATACAAAAGATGACGGGGGGAAGAAAAATGAATGATATCAAATAGGCATCAAAGTAAAATTTGTGGGAGACATGTTTTATATTTACAGCAATGTTTGTGTAGCTGTTGGTATCCATAAATTACACTAGTCATTAAGCTGTACCATAGCTGGCTTGGTGTCTTATAAATTATTATTTAATCAGCAACATTAAAAAAATGGCACATTTCAAGGAAAGGAGACACAAACAATGGCTTGGGGGCCCTGCACAGACTTAGAATCTCACAGGTCTTGCTCCCAGTCACTCCGTAATTTGGTAAATATTGGAATCCAGTGCCAGGCTCTGGACATGAATGACATGATTTGAACTCATGCCTGATCATACAAATTTGACCTAATCTCTGTGCAGCTGGGCAAGTGAGGATTTCCACTAACTCCTCTTCACAGCCCAATCACTTCCTCTGTTAATGTGACTAGAGAGGTGGTCCCTTTCTGTCTGATCTCGGATGAACATAGAACAGGAACTTGCAACTCATTGCCCAATCCCCCTTGCCAGTTTGGTCATAGGAGTAAAAAGGGAGATGCTGAAAAGTATCCAGACATTTATGAAGATGTCCTGGAATTTGTAGATCTACCATGGTGTTGCTGCAGGATAATCCAAGCAGCAGAGTCATATAATATGTGGATGTAAAACCCACAGAAACTCTTGAACCATCAGTTCCCACTGCTGCCAATCTCTTTTTGGACCAGCACATCCACATGCAGCAGGGAAAGGATTAAATGCAGAAGAGTCTGGATGAGTGCACAGAGTAATAACTATCAGCCAATGGGACATGCGGATATTCAGTTCTTCTGAAAAGCAGGTCTGTACTGCTCTGCAAACACGAGTAAAGTGTGCAAGAACCCGAAGTGAAGGAGCATGCTGCTTAGGGTTACCATACGTCCGGCTTTTCCCGGACATGTCCGGCTTTTTGGGCTCCAAATCCCCGTCCGGGGGGAAAGCCCAAAAAGCTGGACATGT